ATCTTATTTTTCTCATTTTCGAAAATTGTTAATCCATGATACGAGATATTGGGTCCAGTAAATTTGAATGTGCATATCTAGACCTATTACCATTTTTCCCTGTAATGTCAAAAACACATTCACGCACGCATAAATAAAGTTAATATTATATGAGCTAGTATTATATGAGATTCAGTCACTATATATTATTTATGATGATGATTTGGCATATACTTTTAAAATTCGAGGAATCCGTGCTCGGCGTGCAATACATATGTGTGATGTGGGAGATAAAAGTCGAATTTAGAACGACGACGATCTATATGAATAAGTGAATTCTTTAGGATTTCAGTCGCAAAGAATATCTAAATTTTTTTTATAAGTAACTTCTACACCACCGGCACAGAATAAATAAACGTGGATCATAAAAAGTATTAGCGATTAAATTTACATTCTCCGATGTTTATGCACTAGTTTCAGGTTTCCATTTTATGATACCAGAAATACAAAACCGGGAAATCGTTTTATCGTGTACATAATCTTTTGCGCATTGCAAACTACACGGAATATTTGGGAATACGGAATACAACAGATAGCAATATATCGCTGATTCATTTACACAATAAATCATATGAAATAAATATATAAAAATAGATGTTTTCTATTTCGGGGAATTAAATTAAACAGGATGATTTTATTTATTTGCAAGAATATTACTACAGCATATCGATACGATAATCTACGTTGTCCGAACACAGCAAACTCATATAGGAGATTATTTATTGCCTACATTTCCGGAAAAGCTTCCCAACACCAAGTTGAAGTTTCTGCTAAGGCGCTTATCAGTACGATGAATCCTTATTGAGGGAAGATTGCGGAAATACAAAACGGGAAATAGAATATTTGTAAAATATATGTATTATATAATCAGAGAAGATTTTGCTATGAAATTCGGACATTAAAACGATAGCGTTAAATATACATAAAATATTAATATATTTATTTTAAGAAAAATTGCTATTTTTTTAATATTTTTTAATAATAAATTAATCTCAATGCTACTTTCACATTTTCATTCTGCAGTGCATTATGTAATATATAAAGTTATATGTCAAGATTTATTTATTTGGTAATTTTATAGTTTTTAATAATCACTCATTAAATTGCAATAAAATTTATCTAACTACGGTTTCACAATATTCCATATATTTTTCCTAATATTAAAAAAAATATTTTTCTATGAGATTGCATAGTTATAAGATCTGAGCAGTAGAGCAGTATAAATACCGCGAGCTATGATAATGAGTACTTGATTAAATATCAACAGAACGATACAAAGCTTTTAGTATCAGTTAATAATAAAACGTAATGATTACAAAAAAAAATATCATTGAATAAGTAAAATCCAATAAAATAGAATTAAAATCAATATTTGTAAAATGATTTTTGCATCATTTGTGAATTTTATATAAATTGTTATAATTATTATTAATTTATTGTAATTGATTTTATATTAAATATCTTTGTAATTAAATAAAAGTTGAGGTTATAATATTTATTTGCACTTAAAAAATTTATTTGTTAATAAACTCATTTATTTTTAATTATTTAATTTTAAAAAACAGACTTTCGTCTTGTATTATTTTAAGTTAATTTAGTTTTAATTTCTTAATGTTTAAATCAAAATTTCATGTTTAGAATTTTTATGCACTATATAAGTTTAGTACTTTGTATATAGGACAGTTTATACTATAGATAAAAATACTCTTTCTCTACTCTTTCTCTCTTTTAAAGACGACGCTTTATATTTTCTAAGTCTTGTTTTAAAAGATTCAACATAGCTTTTTCTTACTTAAAATGCGTCACATGACAAAGCGACTTATTGATGATACGACAGTTATTACCAACTTTCACTACTTCCATGGTAAACGGCTTTGTACTAAATAACGTTCATGTAAAAAAGCGTACATAACTCCTACAGTTATGGAGTTGCGTCAATGCTGCTTTCTAAAGGTCTAAAGATTCAGAAGATGAAGATCTATTTTTTCTTTTAATATATGCAAAGTAAATCTTATTTTTAAATTATTATTTTTATTTCATATAATTTAATAATAACAATAACTCTAATATTATTAGTTATAAATTTTAATTAATCCAATATAATACGATCACATTTTAATTTTGTTATCTAGTTTAATTGGAAATATTTTATATATTAGAAATATGTATATGTCTCTTAGTTATATACATATGAATAAAAGAAGTTACACAATAATTTTAGAAACATTTAACAAATATTTAACAAAGAAGTTTATATTTGAAATAATTCTTACTCATATGTTTGTAATATTTGAAGTTCATTATTGCTCTTATTTATAAATACATTTTTCATAGCAGCAATAATATGCATATCACATATTCTTTCAAATAACTTTTCATGCAAGTAATATATATTTATCTATATGCAGAAAAGTGTTGAAAAATCTATATACCGGCGTTCGATTAAACACTTTGACATGGAAATGTACAGTAACAAAATAGTAAAGAAAATAACTAAGCCCCGTTTATCAGTTTTTATATTTTTATTGTTGTATTTTATATATTTGTAAATAATATTTGCATTATTTATGTGCATGCTCT